AATATTCCTTACCCTTACTAGAGATGATATAAACAACATTGGCTAATTTAAAGTTTGAATAGTTTCAAAGATCGGCTAGACAACGAAAATACTAGCTCTCACTCTAGAGTTCCTTTGATTCCCTCCACCTGGGAGCTAACATCTCGTATGTGAAACTAAAACAATAAACCAAGTTGGGGGCTTTAACGTGTCACTTTAAAGTCCTCTAACTCTACACCCATCAATGAATATTTCTCTATTTATTTGCACTCAATCATATGAACTACATTCTCATTCATACAATCTCATGTGATTCTTTCTAATTGTTTCTCACAATAAATTTTAACATCTGGATTGGCCAAATCAAGAAGTAAATTAAGTACATGAATTTAGATCATCACAACTTCATCCAATATTAAAGATCAATACTCTTCACAACTTCCATCCAACACTTAATTAATTATCATTTTAAGAAAAAAGATAAAGAAAACTACTCAGAATCCATGGAGAAAACAAAACCACACTTTAGTTTAAAAGTAGAAATCATTGTCAAACCAACAACAAGTTTCAATTAAAACAAAAGTAGTCTAAAATAAAAGATAAAAATTTATCTCAAGTCTTCCACCAAACTCTTGAAGTTCCTTTGAATCTCTTCTCTTTTACAACACTCTCAATATAAAATTAAAATAAAAAGGATAAATATGTGGTGCCTGAAAATCTCTATTATTAGCTCCTCAATTTTAGAACTTTCAAAACTTTCCCAGTACTTTCAAACCCCTTTAAAAGTCTCAATCTTCCTTCTTTTATAATTCTCCAAAAAGATACATTGTCATCTCTTCAAAATGTATCTTGATTCGATGTATTTCCTCAAGAGATGCTTCCTTTCACAATAATTTTCATCCATGGTGGTTGTAACCACCTATTAAGCCAATAGGTGCCTCAAAAACCTCTTCAAAATTCGCAAAAACCAAATTTACTCATCCAATAACTGCCACTGACGCTTAAGCGCGAGGTCTCTGGTGCTTAGGTGTGACCTTCTCTATTTAACTGACGCTTAAGCGCCGGATTTGGCGCTTAGGCGCCAAAACACTTTTGCACATTTTTCACCTATTGCTCCAAATTTGATCATTTTTCACTCATTTAAACATTTTTCACCATTTTACCTGTACCTGAAAGAAAAACACAAAAAATACCTTCTATTAAAGCTCAATATCTCAAAAATAGGTATAAAAATGTGTCCTCAATATCTCAAAATACCTTCTATTAAAGCTCAATATCTCAAAAATAGGTATAAAAATGTGTCTAAAAACACTATATTTTTTAAGCGTATCAATACTCGACATCGGCCAAATAATATTTTCCTGGAATTATTCTTCAATTTAACTTCAACATGTACAAATGGAGAACTTATTAACTCATTATGCAACATACCGTGCGTAGGGTGCAAAAAGTTGTAATGTGTATTCCACATTGCACTCTTGAAAATTATACTGTCGTGCACACTACCCTCCCAATCGGGCATGACAAATGTAAAACACATGTTGAAATCGTAAACCACCATAACATTTTGCGTAGCCAATAAATGTAGCTTTATCATCATTTGGTATTCGTGTATTAACGTGTGCTCCATCTATTGCACCGATGCAGTCCTAAAAAGACCCCTGTAGTCATGTTTACCGAATTAACTAACTCAAAATGTGAACAATACATTTCGTGATCACAACCTTAAAGAATGACATGTAACGTGTGTCGCGTTCAATATCTGATGGAGTTTGTGCAAATGTTGGATCCGATGGTTTTATGACCTGTGTGGCTAGTTTCATAAGAGCATTCAAACCTACGGTGAAATATCTGCTTATTGTCTGGGAAGAGTGTTGGAACCATCCCATTACACCACGAACTAACTCATTTTGTGACAATATAAACAAAATCATCGCTAACACCTCCCGTTCAGTTGTCCTATATGAACAATGTAGACCATGAGATGTACTAAGTTCAGCAAGTAGGTCGGTGAAAACCTCATGTGTCATTCGAAGCATGCTCCTAAACTAGTCAGATGGCCAGTAAGCAATTCTCCTACACATCTATCTCTGACATATTTTGATGTGTAATAAGGTGAGCAGTCAATGTAATTATTGTAGTAATAAACGATCAATTGGATTGCAACATTTCTCCTCCTTTGTCGTTGTCGTTCCCAGTCCATGCTGGTAACTAGTTTGTAAAAAATAACATAACATAATTGAATCATGAATTATTGAATCCAAATAACATAACATTGCAACTAGAATAAAAAAGATAATAGTAAGGGACGTTAATAGAAAGAAAGCATGGAATGCTAAAGTAAAATAATGTTGTTCAATGTTCCAACGAATGACTACAGTAATAGAATGTCTCTCAAAAATTATAAAATAAATCGGTGATGCCTCGATTTTCCCTACGGGCATAAAAATGATGTAGATAAGCAACCTGTCTGTCTTTCGCCACTGCCTTGAAAAAATCTCTGCGGACAGAATCTTGTAGGAGCTCCACAACAAAAAAGTACAGATCAAAATCATCATCAGTCTCCGGGTTCTCTTCCAAAATTTCCACCACCTCGTTAATTGAGGCTCTCTGGACTTTATGGGGTCATCGTTCGAAGAATCTATCAGGTATGTTATCTGCTTTCTGATAGAGGGACCTCCACTCTTTCTCTTTCTCTTAGACCAATTCGTTGACAGGATTTCAGGGAGGTCCTGGGTGTGAAATGGGGGTGAATCAGCTGACAGGCTAACTGCTGCATTGTCATGGGTAACACCAAAACCTATCTCACTTGGAGCACAATCATATTTCCCTGTAGCAACGACCCCCCCGAACATATGGTCTAACTTCTCCTCAAACTCGGCTGCAGGCACCACCTGAAAAACAAAACATTCAACCTTTCGATTATTTGGTAAAAAAGAAAATGATAAGGTGCAAATTAGAATAGTTTAATGTTTCCTTACCGCAAGTTTTTTTTCCAACAGTCTTCTGAGGCATCAATTGTTTTTTATATCGGGTCCCAACTCAAATCAGTTGATCCTTTTTTTAGTTCCTTCCAAAATTTCTAGTCCTTCTTGAGCTGATCCCATTTGTTTTTCTTTTGAAGTTTGTCATATTCCCTGCCAGTTCTTTCCTTGAAATTCTTAATAATATTTTGCCACCATTTCTTATTAAAATACGTGGTAGATCTATTGCCAAGTTCAGTTTCCTTCAAGCATAGATCACAAAATATTAAATTTTTTTCTTTCTCCCAAGTGCCGGTGTTTTGAGCTCTTTAGAATTAGTAGCCATTATATTATTACGATAAAGTGAAGGCATGAGAAATAACATTGACACGATTTAGGAAGAGGCGAGGGTATGATATAAAGTATACATTTTCAGTTTGGTACTTAACCAAAAGAGAATCTAATAAGTAATGCAGTTCATATATGTCTACCATGAACACCATGAAATTTAACTACTCTTCATTGCAAATATACTGATTTGTGAATTGAAGCAAAGCACATCCATGCAAAGGGTTCTCAGCTATCCTACTAACATGATGTACTCAAAGACAAAGTAATGTATACTAAACTTTACGTATATTCGAGTTTATTGCAAGGCAAAACAATGACTGTATAGCTGTGACAGAGAAAATACCAAATGCAACAATATATAAACTTTAAAGAAGCATCATAAATAAACATTTCAAGATAGCTAAACAATAGATAAACTTTATAGAAATACACTTCTTCACATTTTGATAGCATACTCTGAGAATTAAAAATAGCCCAAGAGCAACAAATAACATTTTTCATTAATAAACATAAAAAAACCTTTCAAGAAAGCATCACATAACCTTTTTTATTAAAAAAAACCATTGCCAAATCCGAGAGCAAGAAGATTATTGTAGAGAAGAAGTTGGAATAGATCATAATTTGATTTTGGGGAGGAATGAAATGGGAATGAGGACCACTGATATATATATAGATTTCAAAACATTACCCGTAGCATTTTCATACCTATTTGCTTTTCAGCCATATCACGAAATGACTCCATAACACCTGAAAAATATCCCAATGTATCCAACAGAGAAATGCAGTTCTCCAGTTTAGGTTTCATACAACATAGTATTGCTAAGAAATGCAAAGTAATTACTACATTTTCCAAAACCATTATCGTATTGCTATACTTCATTGAACAAAAAAAAATTCCATCATATGTAGAGCAACTATGAGCAAGAAAACAAATCCTTCGTTTAAATCGATTTCTAATGCTTCGTAACCCCTTCATGCAACCACATATTAAAGATCCAAACGATATACAAAGCTGGCGATGGGAGAAGAGGAAAGGGAGGAGTAGAGACGCAAGGGAGACTTGGGAGAGAAAGTTTTCGAGATCCATATACCTTGATTCGTATGGGAGAAGAGGAAAGGGAGGAGCAGAGGAGCAGAGGAATGGAGAAGAGCAGAAAACGAGCTTCTCTTTTTTCGCATGAGGGGGAAGACGCGGAGGAGGACGCTAGGGCAAAAGTGTCGTGAGAGTAAAAATTTTAGGGGCAAAGCGGAGCCGCGGGCATTATCTTGTTGTCGGCTTCCCGAAAGCTTCGGATCACCGCCCCCGCGAAGTTACGAAACAAACGGACTTTCAAAATTGCTCTCCGCGGTTTTGGGCGCGCCGCGCAAAAACTGCGGCCCCAAACAGAGCCTAAGACAATGTTTTTCTCTAACCCAAATTTACATTAAATAAAATTTATCAAATTTACTAAATTCATAAATTTATATTTATCATATCTAGTTAACAATGATGAAATAATCAGCATCGTTTTTTTTCAAATTTACGTCATAAAAAAACGAATCGGGGAGGAAGAAGACAAAATGTTAAAAAATTCAATATAATAGATGTTGGATTTTATGTTTATTTTTTAAGAATTTAGTTGAATTTAAATTAAATTTTTGATTAAATCCTGTCAATAACATGCTATCAAACAATTTAAAAATAATTAATTTAGCTGTACAGCTCACCCAGCTTTATCGCTGCATCCAGTAACGCTGCCGCCCGGCACTGCGTCCTCGCGCGGTCCTGAAGTAAACGCTACAGTATCGACGGCAACTCTCCATTGATAGATAAGCTGGAGCTCGCTCACTTGATCTGTCCAAGAAGCATCAACCCAAATCTAGCTTCCCACTTCCAAGGGCGACGATGCACGTCTCCTTTGGCGGCTTCATTCTTCTCTCATCCTCTCCCAAACCCTAGCAACAATCGCTACAGGATTCTCTAAAGACCTTCCGATTGCAGACCAAAGACACTCCGTCAATATGTTGTTCGACGAGTCCTCCCTCTCCCGCCACCCCCATCATCGTGCTTACATCTCCCCGACCACGAGCGTCCCCTCATTGCCGACCTTCTCCGGCAGCACCGGAGGCGAAACATCAAGCCCCCTCCGCCCCTCTCCTACTTCGTCCACATCTTCTTCGTCCGCATCACGCCTTCACACCACACCCTCGTTCGCCTACAACGGCCGAATCGCCGTCGCCCTCGCACCGGCTACCGCCTTCCTCCTGGACCTTGGCGGCGCTCCCGTCGCCGTTGTTCTCACCATTGGCCTGATGGTCGCGTATATCCTTGACTCCCTCCGCCACAAATCTGCCGCCTTTTTTGCGGTCTGGTTCTCCCTCGTCGCCGCTCAGCTTGCTTTCTTTGCCTCTGCCTCCTCTTCCCTGGCCGCTTCGTCCTCCATCTCCTCGCTCCCGTTAACTGGACTGGCACTCCTTCTCTGTGCGGAGACTAATTTTCTCATCGGTTTATGGGCCTCCCTGCAGTTCCGCTGGATCCAGATTGAGAACCCCTCAATTGTGGCCTCCCTTGAGCGCCTCCTCTTCGCATGCATTCCAGTTGCCACCCCTGCTATCTTCACTTGGGCGGTCATCTCCGCCCTTGGCATGGATAATGCTGCCTACTATTTGTTGGCCTTTGCCTGCATGTCTTATTGGCTCTACTCTCTTCCCCGCTCTTCGTCCTTCCGGTCCAAGCACGAGTCCTCCACGGACTCCCAAATACTCGGCCCCTTGGAGTGTTGCATTCATACCCTCTACCTCATCTTCGCCCCTCTCCTTTTTCATTTCGCCTCTCATCACTCGACTGTCTTCTCTTCCTTTTCCTCCATTTGTGATCTACTGCTACTCTTCTTCATACCTTTTTTATTCCAGCTTTATGCTTCCACAAAAGGAGCTCTCTGGTGGATCACTAAGAATGAGATTGAGATTCGGAAGATCCGGGTGGTGAATGGAGCAGTGGCAATGGTGTTTGTTGTGATCTGCCTTGAAGTCAGGGTTGTGTTCCATTCCTTTTCAAGATATGTGCATGCTCCGCCTCCTCTAAACTACCTCCTGGTCACGGTGACTATGCTTGGAGGGGCCTCGGCCGTGGGCTCTTATGCTATAGGCATGGTTGATGATGCTTTTAGTTCTGCAGCTTTCACAGCTTTGGCTGTTTTTGTTAGTGGAGCTGGTGCTCTTATCATTGGTTTTCCCTTACTGGTATGCCTGATAGGACGATTTTTCTGCTTAATTGTTTAGAAAGAGTACTGTTTTATATCATTCTTTTGTATCTTTGATTTATGCTTGACTATTTGTGGTAGGAAGACCAATTGAACAGTGGAAAGCAAATGTCTACTTGCACTATTTCTCTTACCCGATTTCAATTTGCATTTTTTAAACTGTAAAGATTACTCTTTGCTCCTTATTCAGGCGCTCTCACAATATTCCAGTTAATTTCTGCCCTCAAGCCAGTTATCGAAACATGCGCACCATCTTTGGTACCTGAATCCTTGGTTAAGCTGTTAGAATCTGTTCTAATTGAACTATATATCGCTTTATTTCATGTAGACAGTTGCATCCCCTATTCTTCAAAATATTGAGATCTAGGCCAAGACATTTGAAAAAAAAGAACATTTTTTATTTAAAATTTAGTTAGGCAACAATATTTTGATATATGGTTTTTTTGAGTGGTTGAATTTATGTTTGCATTAATATAAATGAAAAATCATATTTTACATGCATGTTGCTAGTACATGTTGATTTTTTTTTTATTGGACTCGTTGGTTGAATATGAATTATGAACAATGAATTGTTTTATTGCAAGAATTTGATTGATGTTTGTCCTAGATGCTTTGTTGACTCAGCTGGTAACATTGGTTAATTTTCTATTTTCAATTCATACTTGCTGCTAGTGAGTTTGTGATCGAGAAATTGTCTATAGCATATGGTTTTCTGTTTCTGCATTGTTCAATCCAGGTTCAGCCCAGGGATAATTGGTTAATCTTAGCAGCACAATATGAAGTTGTTTACTATGACATGAATCCTTGAAGATATATTTCAAATAATGTGTATTCCATTCAAAAGTATAAACTTTAATATGCTTTCTCTTGTGATTTCCATCATATTGTGCTAGCCCTGTTAAATTCTTTGCTTTTATACTGAATCATCAAAGCAATCTAATATGATACTTGAAATTTTTTTTTTCACTTAATTATGCAATTTATATTGGAGAATTATTGGAGCAAGTTTCATAGCTAACTTTTGGTAAATTTGTATCCATTTTTTAAAATCAAATAAATTTTTAAAACATGCATGACATTTTTGAACACCCCTGACCTTCACTCCTCTCTCTTCTTTAATTGCTGCTTTGTTTATGCTACATCATAATCTTAGAATCCATTAAAAAAACTATATAATTGCTGAATAGTTTGTTTAAAGTCAACTTATAAAATGGAAATTTTTATTCCAAGATACTATGTGAGGATATTTATGTTGTATAGTTAATTGTATGAATTTAAATTTAGAGGTACTTGTACTTTATGCCAAAGGCTTTTCGAGCAGTAACCCCCTTGCCATTTAAAAATAGATTGATAACTTCCTGCACTTCTAACTAAAGTTCCACTATTATGTTTTCCTTCCAAGGTGATGGAGAGAAATTAAATGATTTTTTGACCATAGACTAAATGCAACACACCAAAAATTATTTTCTTATTGAAATATGTTGTCTGTGCTCTTTCATACCTCCTCTACTAGATTAATCCTATGTCATAGCTTTTATCCCTTCGCCTCATATTCTCCTTTTTCTTCGATAACTGTCACCTCATCTATCTCTCCAATTTTGATGTTTTGTTCCTAGGGCTGTGAACGTTCCGATTTCGAGCCGATTCAGAGCCGGCTCGAAATCAGATCAAAATTTTTTGATTTGGATCGAAATCAGCTCGTGGATTGATTCTAGTTTTTAATCCGATCTACATTGAAACTGAATCATTTTACTCGAATGTAATTTTTGGCTTATGAGCTGAATCAATCCGGCTCGAAATGTCTGGCTCGAAATATTATTCAATCTGGCTCGAAATATTGCTCGAGATAGCTTGAAACACTGTTTGAGCCAACTCGAAAAATATAATGAGCATTTCATTTGAATAAAAATTATTTATTAATATGAAAAACGAAAAAAGTAAATATACAAAAAGAAAAATATAATATATTTTTTTTTATTGAATGAATCTTCAAAATACACATTTACAAATTACAATAAGGCGAAATAGATATTATTTGTACCATTATAATCATAACTGAAATTACAAATTTACAAATTACAATTGACAATTATAAATATAATATAAAAATGACATGTAAAAGTAAAAATAAAATGATTCTTGAATCTTGATGACTTGCACCTTCAAGGCTGCAAAAAAAATATAACTTGATAGTAATAAAGTTATATTTAAAATTATTAAATCAGGACTGGGGTTTGGGGCATATACATTCCTTTGCTTTTTATATTTAGTTTTCATACGATTAACTAATTCCTGCATTTCAAAAATTTGGAGAAAAAACCAACAAATAATAGCGCAAAAGAAAAGCTCTTAAAAAAAAAAAATCTGAAAAAAGAAGGCCGAGCTTTAAATGAATAGTGAAAAACTTCAAATTCAATCCATATGCTGTTGAAACCCAATTCTAGCATTGAAAAAAATTTCTTCTATAAAGCTCCATCAAGAAAACTGGTCTCAAGTCTATGAAGCCACAAAACTAAATCCAGCTTTGAGGGAATCACATCTCCAAATTTGTTTATACTAAATTCTTCTAAAGATATTTGTTAATATAATCAAGATAGTAAAGCAATGAAACTTTAGATAGGCAACCCACATCAAATGATAAGATCTCATCAAAAGAGAGAAAGTCAGGGAAAGAAACCCAAAGCAAGCAGCCAACCATAAACCAGAGACTAGAAAACGGTTGAGCCAAGGAGCAAAAAAATTCAACTTAGCTATCCCAAAACATGATGCAAAATAACTTGTAGTATCTGAACTTATCATAGAAGTAAAGAATAGTAATATCCGATATCACATAAATAAATTTCAGTGATTTGAATATGGAAGATAATGTAATTTGAGAGAAAGGTAACTTGGCAAGTTAAGGAAAATCCAACATAGATATGATTTCATGGATTTCATACCCAAATAAATTGATCTCTGTATCCACCTTCTCTTGGAACCGTTTTATGCCCAAAGCTGTGATATTCAATTTAGATTAGAAATTCCCTGAGTTACAAATGATTTCAGCAAAATTCTAAAGCTTATTTATAGTGAATGAATGTATGGCATATCATTATTATTGTGCTAAATATTGGCATTGATACAAATCATTTACTAACCAAAACCAAATATTTTTTAGATTTATGAGCTTCAAATTATGATTGATTTACTGTGAAAGCAAGAATTCATGTATGCAACCATTGCTCCAATTATTTAATCACATGAGTCAGATTATAAATGAGCTTGAGAGGATAAAAAAATCACATACCATTGCTCTTATGGATTCTAGCCTTCACAGTGATGCAAACTCCAGAGATTACCAAATTAATAGATGAATAAATTTTTATTTTGCCAAATAAATGCATAATATCTTCCTGTTAGGCATTTCAATTAAAATTATGTGAATAAATAGGAATTGAGTGGTATATATGTAAAGGCACAACAACACATCGAACTTTAAGAAGTAAAACTTCCATTCCCATTAAGCATTTTTATGCTAAATTGGCAAGCAATAATAGAAAATTTCAAAGTAACTGCAACTGTAAAATTATGCAAAACAATAATAAAAAATTGCAAAGCAACTGCAACAACTGTGCCTTAATGAAACATATGGAAAGTGGAAACAACTATGCCTTAAATAAAATTCAAATCACTTAATCAAATATCTGTTAAGCATAAACCTGTCATTGTGCAAACAGTTCCACCCTGCAGAAAAATGCATTAATAGCACTCAAACTTTTGTATCTGCATATATTCATATACCCATTAATCCAATACTTAAAAGACTAACTAAAAGGTCTTTGAACCTTCATAAACACTTCTGACTAATCTAAAGAAGAAAATTAGTGAAAAGAAAAACAAAATTTTCCAAGGCTAATGTATTCGAGAAAACTTGAAGTATAAGATTCACATCTGAGCTTAAAAACATTTCTAGGCTAATGCAGCTAACACCGTTCAAAGTTATCCAGTAAGTTGGTCTGATTTGAAAAATATGAATTTAACCTTGTATTATTGTCTTAATGATGATTAACACCACAACCAACAAACTGAAAAACATAAAATAATCCAACGTTACAGATAATCAGTCTATGCGACTGGCCTTACATCATTGCTCCATCAAAAATACGATTGAATGAACAAAATATTTATCCATATCACCAAATAAGAAACAAGTGTAGCTCCTATTCATTATCAACAATAAAAAAATATGAATGAGAGCAAAAAAAAAATCATCTTAATACTCAATATCACTATCTGAACAATATAGTTGTTAATGCTAAAATAGAAGAAGTAAGTGTCAAAGGAACAAAAGTACATATACGGATCAGTACTAAAATTCACAAGGCAGAAATACTAACACATGATGTAAACAACAACATTCCTTCTGAAACATGAATGTCAGAATTAATGCACATATGCAATTCGATATACTCATGCACAATGATCTTCTTAACCACAATATTTTTTATTCTACTATGGTCATATGAAGATGAAACACATAAAGTAGAAATAAAGTCAGTTTCATCAATATCTCGTCTATTGGGTCAAAGAGTTTTTGTTTTTTATCCGTGCATTCAGCTTTACTTTAGTAATTTGCCCTAAAATGTCTACTCATTCAAGATGTGGTGCCACTCTTTTGTTTTACATAAGCTTTCATACAATAATTGCATTTTCACTTGTGTATAATCTTCCCCTTTTTATCACTGATATTTCAGTGAAGTGGTTCCATACCTTTGATCTTTATCTTTTACTTTTCTTATCCTCATTTGTAGCAATTTCACCCACACCCTTAGTAGGAGTTGGTGCTACATCAATATGAGGCTCACTTATAGAACTATTGGATTTACTTTGAGATTCACTAGTCCTTGTTTCTACAAAAAATTACAAACTTAAGCTAATAAATATCGAACAAATATATCATAAATAAAACTCAATCTATCCAAGAACCATAAAACATTGTAA